TATGTGTACATGATACTGTTCGATGCAGTGCAAACGATGATTGTTGCGAGTGGTCGTTTCAAACAGTTTGTGCTCACCAACTACACGAAGTTGAAAATATGTGAAGGAAGACTAATGCTGGTGATTTGTTGCTTCGTTGCTAATCGACGTTCCAGCGTTTCACATCATCTTCGGGAAGTGCGAACAGCGTTAATAAGCATTCTGAACGAGTAGAATCGAAATACACAAAATGATTCATTGCAAAAAGAGTTGGAACTCATTAAGAGTTCTCGTCGTGAATTGATTAATTATTTTTTGATCAATCGGATCTACACTAATTATTTTGATTGTAATACACTCGTGATTTTTCTGATAAATCTATCAAAACAGTCTAGAATAACTCCACCAATGATTGCTACAAAAGCATGCCCACAAAAAAGAAGTCTTTGACTGGAACAGACTCATCTGAGGATGTGAAGTGAGAAACGCAGGTAATCGGGAAAATAATTCCGATGAACTGAGAAACATCAATTGATGAAATTTAAAAAATTCATCAGCTCCTTATCATCATAAATTTAACAAAAAAAAATCAGCTGCTTACAATGCATTGAATGAGTAGCAAAGAAGCTAACATACGAATGTTTTTTAATTGGAGATTAATGCAATTCGAACAACAGACGCACCTACGGTTTTGTATTACAACTCTTATGAGAACAGTTGCTAGTTTGTGACTTTGCTACTCTCTTATCATTGATCATCACAATGTTAAGTGAATGCGATTCACACTCATAATCATCTTCACAAAGTGTATATGACTGAATTGTATTTGTGTACGTATTCTACGTATACACATATGTATCGTATCTCCTTGATTACAATTCCAGGGAATGCAACTTTTGTTAAATTTTAGAGAGTATTAACACCTTCAGCATATATGCTTATTCAGACCATTTCGATGAAGCGTTATAAGCCCATTTTGACTGAAAAACCGAAAGTTCATGCACAACTTGAGTATATGAAACAGCAAAATTTTTTGGAGGACGATTATCAGAGCGAGAAGAGACGCATAAAGATTGGTACTATATATACCACAAGATTTTATTGAGAAAAATTCATTTGATTAAGGAGATCTATTAAGGCGAGGAGTTAACTAAGGAAGTAATGTATATGCCTGAATATGTATTTGTGCGTTTCTATTCGTATTCATACTTGTAACTCGACAATTTTCAAATAAAAACATCTGTTCGCCAGCTCCTTTTCGTTGCTCGCGAATGGTATCATTCTGAAAGTGGTAATACAAAAAATAGTTGCGGTGGCATAAAATTGCGTGCATTTGTACTCGCAGTAGGTGCAAATGCTAGAACAATAAGTGGAGATGCATAAGAAGTGCTTGTGCAGGATGTTGTTCGAAAGAAGTGATTTGCAAAAGAGAGGAAAAGATGTAGAGGATTGATTATTCATTCGTGAGAGTTCATTTGTATGTTGATAGAACTGTGAAACGTTAGTAAACTTAGTATATTGGAAGCATTTATCAATCTCTTAAAAAAATTAATGAGTAACTCTAACGCGGAGGTGTGACGGAACGGTATTGCGCCTGATAGAGCGGTGGAATTCGCTTCTATTTGAAAGCCCTCATAATACATTCTCAATAATGAATTCACTACAACATGGGAATAATCTGTCAAACTGTTACTTTTGCAGTTGAATATAAATAAAGTCCATGAATGAGGACAAGGAAAACTGAAAAATGATGAGATGAAAAACTTTTTGCAGTTCAGAGATGTGGATAAAACGCTTAAAATCCTAAGAGTAAGAACCTAATTAAGTACTGTAAACGTGTTTTCATTGAGAAATCAGAAAATGAATTCGATATATTGTTAGAAATCAGCGTTTATTTTTGTTGGTTTAAAAACCGCGATACGAAATATGAGAGAAAAAAAGAAATAATCAATGATATCCGCAATCTTGCATTCGTTTACACATGGACGTAAGGCGGAAAGGATTGATCGTCTCACGTGTATACAAGATAGACAATTGAGGTTGAACTTTGTTAAACATCGATTTCATAGGCTTGATTCAAGCTTATTAGATCAGAAATTTCTATGTATATGGTGTATCGATTGAGCTAGCTATTAAAATACTTAGTGTTATGATATAATTAATTTCAAAAAGTATTTTTCCCTAATTACGTTGCTCGAAACTTGCTAACTGGTTCAATTCATTGCTGGAGGGCGTAGACGAGACCTGGTTCCAAGTTGGGGATGTTTTTGCAGAGCAGCCACGCCCCATTCAGCTAGTAATATGTGAGGGATGTGAGCCCAGATAAGCTATTGGTGCTGCCTGTTGTTGTAGATCAGTTGCGAGCATTTGTTCGCTTTTAGACAACGATTAGTATCGTTTCGACGATAACCATCATTGCAACATATCACCGTGCAGCTCGGTCGTCGACTCACTCCACCACTTACGGCTCATTGACTTTGATTTAGGTTTGCGGGCTGCATGCCGAACTGAACAGGGACGTTCAGTATGGTATTCCGGTTCAGCAAGCCATTATGGTCTGTTTTTGTTTCGTTACGTCATCCTATTGAACCATCTTCTCAAATAGTTGTTATGCGCTCCACCCTGATCACGGCAGTACCACGATTACTATCGATTCGAAATTATTCGCAAATTTTCGTTTGCAAAGCCTTTGTATTTACACCATAGAAAGTAAAACAAATAGGAAAAAATTTAGTGATAACTTGCAAAATTTAGTGATAACTTGCAAAATTTAGTGATAAGCCTTCATGTTGCATGAATTCTGTCAAGATATTTGTGGATTACGCTGGGTCGATGCGCGATTTGTATCCTTTAGTTTTATTCGTTAGCTTCAATTGTTCCGGCATCTTTGAGTCTCAAAACTACAATTGAGTCAGTCGAATGCAAACCATTTCATATACTTTTAATCAATTGCATGCTCAATATTCTTAAACCATTCATTTTTTTTCAGGCCATTCTTAATTGTAGCCACAATAACATATTTTATCACCACTGTGAGCACGGTCAGTTTCGTATTATTTGAATCAGTTACTTTATCTCACTACCATTATTGCAACGTTTTCGTTGACTGTTCGTTGTCAGCATCTCCCGCCAAATAACCGAGAACCGTTCATTAATACAAATGAAATGGGTTTAATTTCTAATTTTTCTGGGGAGGGGGGATAGGAAATGTCGGTAATGTGTTTGAATCGTTTGGTGAAAGAAGATAAATGAAGGCAAGAGTTAGTAACGATTCATTCAGAGAAAATGCACTTGCTGTGTTGAATTGAAGCGTTATAAATATAAGATAAGAGTAAAACTAATCGAGATTAGTGGGCGTTTTAAGTTTGTAAGACGGTAAGCAACGGTTACGGTGCTGGCTGAGAGCGAGATGAACAGATTTATATACATATCTGCGAGGTCAATTCACACTTGTTTACGACTGATACGCAACAGCCACGATATACTTCAACCATCTAGTTCTTTACACCCGACTTTAGATGTGATTTACAAATATATAAACGGAAGTCTCTGCGATTGATTTCTTGCCATTCCTTCATATCACTTGATCGGATGAGATTCTGCTTGTTCATAAAATAGTATGACGCTTATTTCCAATAGTTACGAATGGAAGCAAGAAGGTATGGATAAGTTACAAGTCTAAGAATGGTGAAATTAAGCAACTGCATTCTTTAGCAATCCATTCTCTTTAGCAAATCCCATAAAATATACGATCAGTAATAATGGTTTCATGAATATGTTAATTTTTGGGCAATTAATCGATAGTTGAAAACGAAATCGAGATATTCTGAAATTTCTGACAGTAGCAAATCCTTAAAAAAGTTTTGCAACAAATATATTTTAACAAAACAGTAATTCACAAAACGGAAAACAACGTTGCTAGCAAAATCGTAGGATAGTAATTATAAATTTCAAATACTACTCGATTGCTCGGTTTTTATCCTTCGAAAGAACTCATTTCTACGCGCATTATCAATCGAGAATAAATGGCATCTTTTATCTGTTCATTACGAACGCATATTGAACTGAAATTTATAAAACTGATCTTCCAAATTCCTTCTGAAATTCTCACTGATGCTCCCCATTCCTTGCGTGCAAATTGATGGGCTCGTTTGTTTTTGCTCAGCAATCCATTCTCTTTAGCAAATCCTAGCATCTCTACCACTTCGTCTTGCTTTCGAGCGCTTTTCAATAATACAGTTGAACCAATTGATCCATAAATTCCGCACTGAAGACCAGGTCATAAATATGAGACTGCAAGAGGCCATGTTATATGAAAAGAGTTCTTGAGATTGACCGAATTTTGTTCGGAAAAAAATGTGTTTCATTTGTTCGAGAATTATGCGTGCACACAAATCATCTAGTGCAGGCGACCAACCGCCGAGTGAGCCAAATCAAAACTGATTCGAGAGGCAGCCAATGATTATGCTTTCGTAATGGTTGCGATAATTTGATCGCTGGTAGTGATGCGATGCAAAGATTGATTGCTACATTACTGCATTTTCTGGAAAAGATAATCGACGAAAAATGATATTGCCTATTTTTTGAAAGCGTAGACAGCCGCATCTGGAAAAAACCATTGAACAAGAAGTTGCTGGTCTCGAATTTGCCTAATATACCGACTTCTAACTGAAGACACCTTGCATTTTCAGCAAACAACATGCCGAGACTGCACAAATAGGGGATGTTTCTGTGTTGGCGAGAAAGGAAGTATGGTGAGCATATTTACCACAGATTCAGTTCCCTCTCCATTTCATTTATACATCCTTCATGTATTATTTATGCTGAAATGTAAAAAATTTGAAACCGAATTGAATTCGTACAAAATTCTGATAGCTTGCAACTGAATACACCATCATTTAATCCAGACAATGCTTAGTCTAACTTTTTGTGCTCGATCTATGCAATCAGATTTTGTTGTGAGAATGACAGCACTTCAACACCAATGAATGCCTGCTTGACTTTAAAAAATTTTGTAGGGAATGCCAGGCCCTCAGGGCCCACCTGGCGCACCGGGCATTCGCGGATTTCCCGGGCCTGAGGGATTGCCGGGACCGAAAGGTCAAAAAGGATCACAAGGGCCACCAGGACCACAAGGCATCAAAGGAGATCGGGTACAGTTCACAAAGATTAATGATCCTTGAGAAAATGACCATCATATTCAGGAGGTTGAAGGATACAAATATCGAATGTCTCTAATTACATCATGCAAAATAACTAATGATTCCAGAAAATGATCATTTTTTTAAAGTTTTTCCATTCAAGCGCTGATGCTGTTGAACGCGATATCATAAGCTTTTATCAACGATTCGGTTTCCCCTCGTTTTCATTACTGTTGTTAGCCTCTGCTACGCAACCTGAGTTCAGCCAATTTAAATGAGATTCAAATTATTGAAAATGAAATGTGTCCCAAAAATGCGGTGATTTCTATTCATTCGCTCTTGATTTGAGGGCATCATTGGTGTTCCCGGTTTCCCTGGTAATGATGGAGCGAATGGACGACCTGGTGAACCAGGTCCACCAGGTGCTCCGGGATGGGATGGATGTAATGGAACAGATGGCGCACCAGGTATCCCTGGTATACCCGGACCAACTGGAATGCCTGGCTTTCCCGGTCCTCCAGGATTACCAGGATTGAAAGGAGAGCCAGCTATCGGATATGCGGGAGCTCCAGGAGAAAAGGTTTGCTGTTCTTTTGTTGCTGTGTGCTATCCTGCTAACGTATCGTACCATCGACAAATGATGCTCAAATCTATCCTTCCCTCATTTCGGTGTATGATTTATATCATCTATTCAATCAGCCAATAATATCATTCTACAGCATTAATCAACGCAAAATTAACCATCGACAACCAAGTGTTCATTTTGAATGAAAAACGTTATTATCCTATTGGACTTACCACTATGATTGTGAAATGACAGAATTTTGCTGTACAGCCGATTAATTATTCATTCAGTTAACGATCAATGTTTCAGAATTATAACAATTTCTGTAATCTAACATTGTTATTCTTACAGGGTGATTCTGGAATGCCTGGTATGCCTGGTTTACCTGGTCCACCCGGAAGAGATGGTTTCCCAGGAGAGAAAGGTGATCGAGGAGATGTTGGACAAGCGGTAAGCTACAGCTGTTATCACTGTTTTCTAACAGAACTCCCTCCACCCTTCAAATTGAAAAGTTGATATCTTTTCAAATGAACAAAGTCTATGTATATATTTTCGAGAGGCAACAATTGATGTTGTTCATGGAGAGAATTCCGAAAGCTGACAACCCCAATCACAACAATATACACTAGCAGTGGAAACGTTGTAATGATATCATTCACTTCATTTGAATGATTTCAAACACATTTTAAAATAAATTTTTAGTGAAGCTTTTATCAGATGAGCGTGTTTTCGTAGAACAATAATAGGCAATACGATGCATCCAATTATTGAACACTCCTGCATCCTTTCAGCGCAGTAAAGTTCGAACAAATCGTCGCACTCTTCGAACTTTTTCTGAAATTAACAGATGAAAAATTCCCAAATGTGCCATAAACGCTTGACTGAATTGTATTCTTTCCCAACGTGATACTTTTGAGTCTCAGGTGACATAGTTTCGGTCTCCGGATCAATATCGCAAGTTGGAGATCACAACGTTTTATTGCAGGGCCCTCGAGGACCTCCAGGTGAAGCCGGTCCACCCGGAAATCCTGGTATCGGTAGCATCGGACCTAAAGGAGACCCCGTAAGTTTGAAGTAAAGTATACAGAGTCAAAATTGTTCACTTAAAAAAAATTTCAGTTGCTATTTTGTTGAATTTTCAATACCCTTGTCAGATGCAAATTGTTGCATCGCAAATTAGATGACAATGGTTGTCGGTCACGCATAGCGCTGTTCCACGTATCGTAGCTCTTAAATGCTCTGAATTGATAACGGTAAGCAGGAAGTGGACAAGTTTAGGGAGATCTTGGTCCGTCTGGACCACCGGGTCCTCCTGGCCCTCGGGAATTCACTGGTTCTGGCTCTATCGTAGGCCCTCGTGGTCCATCAGGCGACAAGGGAATAAAGGTGCGTTGCAAAAAATTTGATATTTGTGACTGATTTTAGGGTGATCAAGGACCACGTGGTCCGCAAGGTCCACCAGGACCTGTGCCTTCAACTGGCGCTAAAGGCACTATCATCGGTCCAGAGGGTCCTCCTGGAATGAAGGGAGAAAAGGTTGGCTGATCTATAGGAACAGCTGTTAATAGAGTAGCTTGAATTGGCCGATACACTGCTGCTGCTGCTGGCTTGTCTCTGAACGCAGTTGTGCTTGTACCTTTCTAACTCGATGTAGTTCATTGATAGAGAGTTATCTCATTCGTTGATAACAAATGAGGGCTTCATACCAACAACTGTCCTTGTTACACTAACTTTAGGCACTCTTTCAGTTCTACTTCATTTCCTCGAATGAACGTTTTTTATTATGTGCAACGCTTTCTGAGAGATGCTCGGCAATACACTTCATTGCTTTCATGTTCACATCAGTTTTTGACGACTAAGTTTTTAACGTATCGAACCGCTGAGCACATAGGACAATAATAAGTATTCCTCAAACGTGAAATATTGTGGAATATGAATAGTGCACAAATTTGAAGAATATTTGAACGTAGAACATCCACACATTACATAAATATTAAAGTGATGCAAAAAAACAAAAAAAAAAAACAAAAATTGTGGAAATCTAACCGAAACCAGCAACCCTCATCACTGGTCATCCCCACAGAGCGCTTTATAACTGAGAATCCAAAATTCAGAACACGCTTTCAATTAGGAATTCATTTGCTAACATTTTTATGTATATATGTGTTTTGCGCTTTTGGCCTGTTAGAAGACAGAAAGAAGCTTGCAATCAATTAAGATAATAACTGAACTCTTAGCTAGTCCCATTGACCGGATATGATGATACAGGAGAATGAGCTTGAAAACAATTTAGTTCTAAAATCTCAGTTCTGCATCCAATCACTAACCTTATCCATGAAGCTTCGCTTTTAGAATGATGAAATAATTGCATGAGATGGAATTGTGAATTCCTAACAACACTACCTATTATTTATCGAATCAATCATCCCGAAAATACCCAACATGCATCTCGAGATGGTACATAGCATTTGAATAGTTTAGGAATCGAACAAGTTTATATGACATGGATAAATGACAATCGATGCTATTTGAGCAAAAGAAACTGAGTTCTTAAACTAACGCTCGGAGCACAGTCATCGAATAAAGAAGCGATGATAAAATAGCAACAAGTTGTATGTTATTTAGTAGAACGCGCGCTTCCATAGAACAATTTGCATAGGGATTACTTATTACATTTAAAATGCATATGGTCGATATTCGTTCACATATGCTGTGCACATGTGGTAGTTTGTTCAATCAAATGAGTTCATTTAGTCACCACGTGATTGCTATCGTTTTCACTGCCCTTATATTACTGTCCTATAACCGAGTACATTTATCAACGTAAAGCATTGAAAGTGAGAATCGATCGTTGTGGTACCCGTTTTGATCAAAAAAAGCTTCTGATCAAAAAAGCATTTCGAAGGTCGTTTTTCGCCGTAAAATTCATATTCACTCTGAACAGGCAAATTAAAACAATTCTAGGAGAACTTGTAACGAGCAACTGCCTCCATGTGACTTCAAATGAGCAGCTAAAAATAGCAGTTTTTCGGAGGGTAGTTGTCCGATAATCAACTGAAACTCATTAGTCGTTCACCGTTCTCTTGTACAACGAGCATCGTTGCATGAGCTCTGTAATCATTTCACTTCACTGCGCAAAAAATTATTTTCATGAGGAAGAATGTTCGAATGAAATGTGAGATTAATAACGGTGATTACTCAGTGAAGTTTATATGAAAATATGTCACCATTCAATGCAGTGATAATATTAATTTCAAGGCTACAGAGCTATTGAAGGAATTTTCCAGATAAAAAATCATTCATACTTCGAGATCAATTCAGTTTTAAGAATTATAATTTTGGAACCCGAATCATAACAGTCATTCTGACATCATTTTTGCATTTTATCACCTCAAAACAGTGCATTCACCGCTATTGTGGCTTATCGCTGAAGCATTCGCCAAAAACATTACTGCTTTGCTTAAATATCGATTGCTTATGATTGTATTTTAGCAGTAATCAGTTCCGAATTGCAGGGTGATCCAGGAGAGGCTGGTGTAAGAGGTTTTGCGGGAACGCCGGGACAGGCTGGACAACCAGGACTTCCAGGAATCAAAGGCGAAAAAGGCCTTTCTGGACCAGCTGGACCTCGAGTATGTTGTTTCACCTGATTCCGAAAAAATTCGCCATATAATCATGAGGCCTGCTTATCCTGATTCAGTCAGTAATAATTTTATTGCTGACCAAAGATGTCAAGTGAATTTCATGACATCGAAAGCGACCTTCAGCCGAAAGCAATTGAACCTATTTCACATAAATCTATTCTTCCGTCGTCTTTTCTCAGCAGTTTACTTCCTTTTATGATGAACACCAACGATGAGACTTTTACACTTTGATATGTTTGAGCAGAACATTGTTTGTGCACATCTGAAAAGCTGAATTTTACTAACTGATGGATAGAAATGATGCGTTTTTATAGTGAGTGCGACCAAAAATATACTTTTCGAATTATTGACAAAATTAAGTGCAATCAAATTAATTGTGTCCCAATCGTGTTTGCACGCGAAAAAGGTTGTTTGTTGTTTCAGGGCAAAGAAGGAAGACCTGGCTTACCAGGTCCACCAGGATTTAAAGGTGACCGTGGTATAGATGGAATGCCCGGTATTCCTGGATTACCTGGCCAAAAAGGTGAAGCTGGTTTTCCGGGAAGAGATGGATCCAAAGGAGCAAGGGGACCACCTGGCCCTCCGGGAGTAAGTTTCTTGTCAATTTAAAGTATACTTTTCCAATTATTGACAAAAATAAGTGTGATCAAATTAATTGTGTCCTAAGAAAAGGTTATGAAGTAATCAGATTAACATGTTCTATCTGGATTGTTAATGCACAACTCAAACTTTTTATCACTACAATCCTCTTATAAGCATCTGAAAATATTCTTGCCTCAAGATATGGTTCAGTAGAAGACAAGTTTGATTCAGGGCGGAGATTTCTCTGATGGACCACCAGGACCACCAGGTCTTCCTGGACGTGAGGGACAACCTGGTCCACCAGGCACAGATGGATATCCTGGCCCACCTGGACCGCAGGGTCCAGAAGGTTTACCGGGAGGTCCAGGTCTTCCAGGACTTCCTGGTCTCGAAGGATTACCAGGTCCAAAGGGAGAAAAAGGTGATGTTCATCTAGATGAATAATTGTTCCATATCATCGATGCGCTAATTAAATCTATTTGGATGTGCTGAATTATGGAATCCAAATGCTTTCGCAAGTATGCCGAATTCTTAGTATACTCGTTGCTCTCTCTCCCAAAGCTACGGATTTAAATAAGTTGAAATTTTGAAAGCCTAATTATTCCGAACCGAGACCTCGAAAGTTTTGATCGGCAGTTACTAAAGAACATTTCTGCAGGTGACTCTGGAATACCTGGTGCTCCTGGCGTTCAAGGTCCTCCTGGATTAATTGGACCACCTGGTGCAAAAGGTGAATCAGGACCAAGAGGAGTGGACGGAAAAAGTATTCCGGGTCTACCAGGAAAGGACGGAAGGCCTGGATTAGATGGTCTTCCAGGAAGAAAAGGAGAAATGGGATTGCCGGGCGTTCGAGGTTGGCTGTTGATCACTCTCAAAGTTTTTGAAACATTCTTGTCCGAAGCGAAAGAAAATAAGTACAGAGCCGAATTGAAACGACAGATTCAATAATCAATGACAGATTCGTTTTTTTGAGGTGAATATTTAGTTCATTAAAAGACTGGAACGTTACTACTGATTATAGGTCCACCTGGTGATTCTCTGAACGGACTTCCTGGAGCACCAGGCCCACGTGGACCTCAAGGTCCCAAGGGTTATGATGGACGCGACGGTGCCCCTGGATTCCCTGGTATTCCTGGACCGAAGGGTGATCGTGGAGGAGCCTGCTCAGTTTGTGCACCTGGAATGAAAGGAGAAAAGGGTTTGTTTTGATGAATTAAACTACTTCTTAGTGGTAAGCATATGGTAAGAACAACAACAAAATGAACAGCTACTGCCTGTCCCTGTATGAGGTCAATTGGCATAATTGTTTGTATATTTTTGTCGTATGTCGCCCAATCACTTTTGCTGATCACCGAATCATAAGCATTAAAAATATAAGTGGTTTTCGGGAAACAGGTTGGCTGTATACTTGAATAATTTTTTAGGTGACGCAGGTTATGCCGGTTTGCCAGGTCCACAAGGTGAGCGCGGATTACCGGGTATTCCGGGAGCTACTGGAGCAGCAGGAGATGATGGCTTACCTGGAGCACCAGGACGTCCCGGACCTCCTGGGCCGCCTGGACAAGATGGCTTACCTGGTCTTCCTGGTCAGAAAGGAGAACCGACACAGCTTACCCTTCGACCAGGTCCCCCGGGCTATCCGGGACAGAAAGGTGAAACTGGTTTCCCTGGACCAAGTGGACAAAGTGGTCAGCCTGGAAAACCTGGAATCGCTGGTCAACCTGGCTTCCCTGGATTGCCAGGACCTAAGGTTGCCCTTTTTCTAAAATTCAGTGTAAATTTAAAGAATATTATGGTCAAAATGCCCTAAGCTGCAACAGTTGGGCCCAGAGGTCACAAGTCGGCTAAAATTTTCCCAAGTCTGCGAGAGAACGATCTTTCGCTTTTCTATTTTCACAAAAATCATTTGCCACCAGATAACTGAGAAAGTTTTTTGAATAGAGAAGACGGAAGCTTGGAGAAAAGAAGACAATAGAGGAATGAAGTAATTCGGAAAACATTACAAATTGCATTCAAAGCTTCAAAGTGATTGCTTACTCACAGAGAATATGAAAGGTTATTTTCAATAACAAAAGTTAGTAGTGAAACAAAATGAATGGATATTATACCCATAAAGTTCTCTGGCAAGTTTTGATCAACACTTCCGTGGGTTTGAGATTGAACGTGGGCGATTAAGAGAATAATGAATAAGGACAAACAAATGACTGTTTAAGGCAGTTCGAAAAGATGTGAGTTCTCGTATACATGAGTAAATAACAGCTTATCAGTTGTCCACATGAATGAATTTATTGGATTCCCACGACGGAAAAGGTTTTCGAAGTGTTCGATTTTTGACGACTGGTGGTCATCGCTGAGTATATATACTGAACATAATATACTGAACCGAGTTTTCATTAATTAGATGCTACTCATAGCCAGAAGTGCAAAAAAGTAATCTTAAAAAGATTAAGAAACAAAATATAATGATAGAGAGACCCGACGTATTCAATGGAAGCAGACAGTGACCCTACTATCACAGATTTTCAATCTCGAAAATTTTTGCTATCTGGTTCCAACTATTGCAAGCAAGCCATGCTCTACTTCTGCAGTTGACAACGTAAATTTAAAAGAGTAACGGAATGGAACTTGCAGAATGAAAATTATTCGTACTAATTAATAGAACATTGGTTGTTTTAGGGAGAACCTGGGTTGACTGGAATGCCTGGAAAAGCGGGTAAAGATGGAATTCCAGGATTACCTGGTCTAAAAGGAGAACCTGGTTATGGACAACCAGGAATGCCAGGTTTACCTGGCATAAAGGGAGATGCTGGTTTACCAGGATTACCTGGTTTGCCTGGTCCCGTGGGACCAATGGGACCCCCTGTTCCAGAAAATCAACTGAAACCTGGACCTCCCGGCAAAGATGGACTACCAGGTCTACCAGGACAAAAAGGAGAGGCCGGGTTCCCTGGAGCACCCGGTTTACAGGGTTCTGCTGGATTACCTGGTTTACCTGGAATGAAAGGAGATGCTGGATTACCTGGAGCACCAGGTCTTGCTGGTCTCCCTGGTATACCTGGAAGTAAAGGAGCGGCTGGTAAGTAATATTCGCATGAAGTTGTGACGTGTCTAACGATGAGAATGATAATACACAGTGCAGAATTCTTGGGATTCGCCATAAATCGCTAAAATTTCGATGCGAATACTTGCATAATAACATATTTCTTGACAAGTCAACGCGTTATGAAATCTCCCCACAATGTGAAATAAAACTAGAATCGTTTTGGATCACTTACCGTCACAAAAATTGACTGTCATTATCCCGAAATATCGATTCGAAAATTTCCGCTGCGTTAATCATAAGCCACGAAACAATTCATAGTATGGTATTAAAAATGACTGGCTTAGTTTGGATTAGTGAATGCCTTTCATAGTGGATGTTGTTTCATGTCGCATATGATTTTTCGATCAGCTGCTATCGAGCTTATTTGCGGAGACATTAATTTCTACATGAGAGATCAACATACCACTGCAAAATGTGTACTTCACTGCCGGACAAGTATCTATCCTGTGTTAGAACTCCAAGGATGCGGATGAGAAAACGGATTTACATTGAGGCGCGGCAGTTTGTGAAGAGATCAATAAGGAATGTGAAGTGATGTGCAGTGCGTGCTGTTCGGCTGCTGTCAGAGCATTTATAAATGGAAGAATTGATATGCGATGGGTTACAGATTAGATTTACGAGTTTGTGGGAGATTTGTGATATTCTGTTAGTTTCTTTCGAATGCCACAGTTCTTAGTCCATCAAACAAATTTGAATAGCAGTGATTTTGATTTGCTGCCAGAATTGGATAGAGGATCTAATGGGTGACTATAGAGGTTAACTACGAAGCATAAAACTCGAAAAAATTTGAGGGCCGGAAATCAGCGATGTTACTGTACCAAAACATATTTGTACTTCTTGCACTGTGCTATACTGTAGCGGGGCATGATACGAAATTTTGCCATAACGAACAATGGAAAGTACACTACGTTACAAAAACGCTTTGAAAAAATTGCTTATACTATTGTCCCGGTTCCAGGATATCCACAATAGTGTATCTGAAATCAGCTAAGTAATACTTTTTGTTCCCATCGAAATCCATTTTTGCATTTCACAGAAATAGTAATCAAAATTTAAATACGTAGTCGAGTTGTTAATTAGCCGCACTTCTCCCATAGCCTACTTCGAGGTAAAACGCACTTATCTAAGTTTAATTAAACATGGCGTAGGATCGAGCCTAAAGTTATGGTATGGCAAAACTGCGGATATTTTTTGATTCACCTGCGCAGTAATATATTCATTATGTATATGGTCATATAAACCGTTAGTATGTTTAGTACAATATAAGTACATTATGTATTTTCGAGAAGTGTTGCAGTAATGCACTTTTAGTTCCAGAGGATTGGTGGCTTGGAACCATATAGTACACTTGTATTTCTTGGATGTTCGGTGCAGTACAAAATTTCATTACCTTTTGAAAAATTGTACAGTGCAAAATTTTACCGAAAATACCGACACAGTGCTACCTTTGCTATAAATAACGCGACAGAGCCGTCTTAAGCCTAAGCATGATACTGAGTCTGAGCCGGAGATTGAGACTGAACCCAATTCATGCGGATGAAGCTAGAACTTAGGCAGTTAATTGAACTGGATTTTCTAAAATTTGATGATATGCTATCCAATGAGGTAGTAATATCCGCAATCGTCTTGCTCATCCAGTGTATAATTAGAGAACAAAAGTGAGAAAAAAATGCACTTCAGAAGTGATCAAATATGTAAGACAACGAGAGCAAGCGAGGATAGATGAGAAGTGTTGCCCAGCTTTCCGACGCTCATGCGCATTTGCTGAACTGCAGTTTTGCTGATCATAAATGTGCATTCTAGATTGCTATTTTACTATATTCGGTAAGGATGTGAACGAGAAAGTTAGAGCAACTGTAGTCGACTTCTTAGATGAAGTTTGCTGAAATACATGCGATGAGAAGACAACTAATTTCCAATGAACGATCTAAATTTCTTTACAGTTCCTTGCAGTCGTGAAAGTGTGGTACTCAGATTCTCCAGGATCACTCCTATACTTTGAGATTACCGTTTGCTGATTTCAGGAAAACCTGGACTTCCTGGACTCACTGGTATGAAGGGAGACCGGGGTTATCCTGGTCAACCCGGTTTACCTGGGCAGAAAGGTGAACCTGGTCCATCAAATACTGGACCGCCTGGACCTCCAGGATTCCCGGGACTTAAAGGCAAAGACGGAATTCCAGGCGCTCCCGGACTTCCTGGTCTTGAGGGACAACGTGGTTTGCCAGGTCTTTCAGGACAGAAAGGAGAAACTGGTCTTCCTGGTCTTGCAGGAGCGCCTGGTTTCCCAGGCGCTAAAGGCGAGCCTGGCTTCCCTGGCCTAACAGGTTTGTAATACAATTTGTCTGAGCGTCTACCAAGGCTAAAGTTTATTAAAATGATAACAATCATGAAATTGTGCTTTCCTGCTGGATAGGTGCTTGTACGATGATAAGTTGTTATCAGTAACATGCAACCGAAAAAATTTATTTTCTAATCGGTACGTACATTCAGAAATGAACGTTTCAGGCAAAGAGGGACCGCAAGGACCAGCAGGACAGCCTGGACTACCAGGATTCCCTGGGCAGAAAGGTGATGAAGGACTTCCTGGCCTACCAGGAGTTTCAGGGATGAAAGGTGACGCGGGTCTTCCAGGCCTTCCTGGAGTTATTGGACCAAGCGGACCACCAGGATTCCCCGGACAAAAAGGACAGCCAGGTTTCCCTGGTGTACCAGGAGCTAAAGGCATGTGGACAAACTTTCTGCTTGATTTCATTCTTCGAACAGAACGAAAACACTAAATATAAATAATTTAGAAGGTCAAAAAGCTCATTGCTTCATCAAAGAATTGTTAATCTAATCCCACGGTTTTGGTTCATGCAAGTAATTGATTTCCCTCCGGAATCAGTTTGTAATTTATGAAAAAAGAATGGGTGCAATATGATCGGTGTTAATATGTCAAACTATGTGCCAAATGACTCACCGATACATCCAACCGGGATACGAGATTAATGTCATTTACTTATCACTCATCAGCTGTTAATGAAGTGGAAACGTTTCTCTTGTAGGTGAAGCAGGGTTATCTGGATTACCAGGAGCGCCAGGCAGTAAGGGTGAGCAAGGACTGGCAGGTCTCCCGGGTATACCAGGAATTAAGGGGGCACCAGGCATCCCTGGAGCGCCCGGAAAAGATGGTCTTCCCGGCCTACCTGGCATGAAAGGAGATAGAGGATTCAACGGATTGCCAGGAGAGAAAGGAGAACCAGGACCAGCAGCACGTGATGGAGAAAAGGGTGAACCTGGAATGCCAGGTCAACCAGGCCTGCGTGGGCCCCAAGGTAGCATTCCACGTCGTTTTAAAGATTGATGGCGTTTTAGTTGATAGTACTACACTTGTTAAGACGAACTTCCGAAACGATGCAAATTTGCTTCCGTTTAAGTTGTAGGTATAAGAGGAACCGAATGGGATGTATAACGAATAAAAATCGTGAAGTGAAAGGGTGATTTGAAAATTGACTTGGGTAATGACTTGATGCAATAAACTCAAATGATAGTAGCCAAAGATAGTGTACACTAATTGCCGAAGCCTTATTTTTATGCGTTCATTTGAACAACGTCAATTCTCTACATATCCAACTACTTTATCAGCACGACTCGCTTCGCAGCCGTTTTATCAAGGCAAACTGACCAATGAATCAGATTCTGCAGCTATACTTTCAATAGTCTGCATATTCGATACCGATGAATTTGCTTGACTTAAGCGAAGAATATCATTTCCTCTACATCTTTAATTCAGGACAACCTGGGCTACCTGGCCTACCCGGTATGAAAGGAGATCAAGGACAACCCGGATATGGAGCACCAGGACAAAGGGGTGAAAAAGGTCTCGCAGGTTTGCCTGGAAAACCAGGGCGACCAGGTCCGCAGGGTCCAAAGGGACTGGATGGTGCACCAGGCTTCCCCGGCATCAAAGGAGAACCGGTAAAAATGAGAATCAACTTTCAGTTTACGATTGATATTTCTCAAACCGTTTGCCATATAACGTAGTATTTGATTCAATGATGCGTTCGTTCATTTCAAAGTTATTGCAGTATGCCACAATATTTCATATGATGATACTTACCTTTCTTCAGGGATTACCGGGACTACCAGGATTGCCAGGGCAGGATGGAATACCTGGTTTGCCTGGTCAGAAGGGAGACAGTGGATTCCCTGGTCAGCCTGGACTCGTAGGAGCGCCCGGCTTGGCTGGAAAGATGGGTCCTCCTGGTATGCGAGGAGACAAAGGTGATGCAGGACCTGCTGGAATCCCCGGTGAACGCGGTCTTGATGGCTTACCTGGTCAGAAAGGAGAACAGGGCTTCGCAGGAGCTCCTGGTCTTCCAGGAGCGCCAGGTCAGAAAGGTATGGCAGGTTCTCCCGGCTTCCCCGGTATAAAAGGAGAACGTGGTGTACCTGGACTGGATGGACAACCAGGTTTACGAGGAATGAAAGGAGAGGCTGGATTACCTGGCGCGCCTGGAAGAGATGGTTTACCTGGATTGCCAGGAATTAAAGGAGAGGCTGGAATACCAGGACTTCCTGGACAACCAGGTTGGACTTGACGTCATGCATTCACCAAAATTATTAATTATCAGATGAGTTATTTTGCAGAGGAATGAGTAACCTATGATCATTAATCAGCATTCACAAAATACTTTGAAACGGATTTCATGATGGGATGTTGATATCAATGCTGATACTTTTAAATAGACATTTCTAGACAACTAAGTTTCTCCGAATTAATTCTGAGCTGACATAATTTTCTCTGAAATTTATAAAGATCTAAAAGTTGAGGAACTATATAGCTGTGCACGGCCTTGAACAGCCGTGTATTTCACGGCTGCTGAGGACTTCAAAGTAGATTGAAAAGGATTTTAAAGTCATGTGTTTTAATGTCAAGTAATTCATCAGGAAAATCGATCACCGGTCCGAAAGGAAATGCTGGTCTACCTGGATTACCAGGAAAAGATGGACTTCCTGGTTTACCGGGTCTTAAGGGAGAACCTGGTCAACCAGGGTTCCCGGGAACGGCAGGAAGGAAAGGAGATCTCGGATTACCAGGAATACCTGGTGCCAAAGGCGAACCGGGCTTGTCTGGAATACCTGGCAAAAGAGGAAATGATGGTATACCAGGTAAGCAAGGAGCTGCTGGGCTACCAGGTATACCTGGAATGAAAGGAGAAAGCGGTTTACCCGGACCACAAGGACTTGCTGGCTTGCCTGGCATGCCTGGTATGAAAGGTGAGTAGAATTAATTCAGAAAAATAACTCATATGGAATGGTTCTAATTCCATTACAGTGAATATCTCTCAATGAGACACATTACTGTGATACTTGCACAGGATCGCAGGACCCCAGGATTCCGAATTTTCAATCCCAATTCCAGTCTCGAGATGTACGTCCTGATAAACTCCCAGTTCATTCACATTCAGTGATATTTTTTTTCACCACACAATCAGATGAATAACAACTTACTATTAGCAACACCTCAGTTTTCAGATTCTAGAAAAAAATTCATCACTTATGTTTCGTCTTTCGTCGTCACTAGCACTTTGCATACCATTTGCGATCATTTCTCCACCCCCAAATTACTGCAGGATTAAAAAACGATCCCGAAATTCAATCCCAATCCAGCGATTAGAAAATGGTCGGATTTTGCAAGCAACAGTATGAATTTAAACAAATAACTGATTGGAAGATATACTTGCTTGTAATTTGTGATTGATAATTCTTCACGAGTGAGACAATCATAGAAGATATTTACAATAGTAAACGTCACTCATCATATTGATGTCGATTTTGTTGTGATCGTTCAAGCCATAATGCAATATTACGTTCATTTATCGCTGAAATGACAAAAATGATAAAACTGGCACAGTCAAAAAATTAATTCTGCACTGCAGTAATGCAGCAGTACAACTCAACAGAACCCATACCGATCAAGTGCTCATTCAGAAATCGTTTATTTATATCTAGTCGTTGTTCGCACTGGGTTATAATTTCAAAACTTTTCCATTTCAGGAGAACCAGGATTACCTGGGTTCCCGGGGCAGAAGGGAGAAGCCGGATTTCCTGGACAACCCGGAGTACCTGGTCTCGCAGGAATGAAAGGTGATGCCGGCTACCCTGGAGCACCTGGAAGAGAAGGACCACCAGGTAAACAAGGAGAACCGGGACCAGTAGGACCTCCTGGAGCTGAACCACTGACTCAGAGAGGTGAAAAGGGTAATATAGGACCGATGGGTATGCCTGGTATGAAGGGAGAGAAAGGCCTGCCAGGGCTCGATGGACTTCCAGGAACAAGCGGTTAGCTTTGCTTTAATTGTACAGCGATATGTGTGCAGCAATCAAATCTGAAGTTCAAATAGCGAAGCACTAACATTCAAAAATAGCAATTTGTCAATGCAGGTTAGCATTTGAAAAATACCAGTTGATTCATTTAGGACCACCTGGATTCCCTGGCATTAAAGGCGCGGATGGATTCCCTGGACAACCTGGTATGCCAGGAGAGAAAGGTGCTTCTGGACTTCCTGGATTCCCAGGTGTTGAAGGCATTCCTGGACCACCGGGTCTCCCAGGACCTCTCGGACCACCGGGACCACCAGGACCATCTTATCAGGATGGCTTCTTACTGGTCAAGCACAGTCAAACATCAGAAGTGCCGCAGTGTCCTCAGAATATGATCAGACTTTGGGACGGCTATTCACTCTTATATATTGAAGGAAATGAAAAATCGCACAATCAAGATTTAGGTTTGCAATCAATCAATTTGTTTTCAAATAACGTTCATCATTTGGCAGTAAGTTATTCGATGTGAGCATTAAAATATTATATTTCCAAAAATTGCCTATTTTCGTGCTAATTTCGTGCAAATCAAGTGTGTCTACTCACTGAATAACTTAAAGCACATTTGATAAGAACAAAGTAATATGACAGAACCGGACCGAGTTTTTTCCTCCTCATCTGATTAATGAAACACAATCAGTTGAGAAGTGCCAATACCAAAGTTTTGCTCACAATTTCTGAATCGGTAAATACCTACCCGCCAAACATAGGGAGTTGCCTTAAACATTCTATCAAATTCGACAAAATCATTCAAAGAAAACTACGGAAATGGATAGATGAACGAATTCCGAAATCGAAGAATGAATAAGGGTGGTTCCAAAATATAGGAAGAACTTTTCTGCTAGAATGAAATCTTTTAGTACGCTGTGAGGATATACTAGCGATGGCTCATTTCTAAAGAAGATTTTAGTAAGTTCATGATTTCAGGACACGCTGGTTCATGTCTATCCCGATTTTCAACCATGCCATTCCTCTTCTGTGATGTGAACAACGTATGTAATTACGCATCACGTAATGACAAATCATACTGGCTATCCACAACTGCACCGATTCCAATGATGCCTGTGCAACAGGCTGGCATTGAACCGTATATCTCAAGGTTAATCAGTTTTTAGCATGATCATCTTAAATTCGAAACATGATGAAAATGCATCAGTAATTCTTCACTGTTAACGTCAAATTCATCATTCGAGATCGCTGATAGATTGTTACAATCGAATAGTTTATTTTATTCGATTGAGAACGTTGCATGAACGGTAGATCATGATGGCTTACAAATATTTACATTCAATATATATCTTAAAAAGGATAATCAATAAGAATACAACGGACGCTTAGTTCACAAACCCAATTCGATCCAAAAATCGGTTTTTAAACTGGGTAGTTCGTTTTTTCCGAACTTTTTTTGGATACGGATTGTCCCAGAGCTGCAGCCGGAGCGGAACTGAGGAAATTTCAGAACTGCAGCCAGAGACAAAATTACTAAGAAGTGGAGCCGGAACTAGGGCCGAAATTCTAAAAAAAATATGTAGCTGGGTCGTTTTTTTCCAAACTATCATAGCTACGATCATAGTTGCGATCGCCGTTGGTCACCGTTGGTCTGAAGAACAAATCAAACAAATACATCGCGAAACCGCAAAATAAAGTTGATTAAGCAGCTTTATACATTTAAGGTGCGCAGTTTGCGAAGCACCCGCAAACGTCATCGCGGTACACTCGCAGACGATACAAATTCCAAATTGTCCAAGTGGATGGAATTCTCTCTGGATTGGTTATTCGTTCGCAATGCATACTGGCGCTGGTGCAGAGGGTGGTGGTCAATCGCTGAGGTTTGATATTATCATTTATCGTGCATTCTGACTAATTGATTGGTCGTTAGCGATTTTATCCATCTTTAATTCCTTTCAATGAGTAGCTTTAGAAAACGGCTAAATGTGGGCCAATCACATCTTCAGATGTTGCAATCACTTGCGGTCGTTCAGTGTGCCTTTATAAATCGATGTCTTCATTTACTGCCTGAGAGCTCAATAAAGAGGGGATTTTATTAAAGTGAATAGCCCATTGCGTCAAAAAAATCGATACAAATGAAAAATCTCTCTACACAGGAGAATTCGAAAGTTTGGTCAGAGTCGGAGTAATTTTTATGTTTACCACTCATTGCTATTTGTATGATCACTTCAAATCTCATTGACAAATTCAGTTCGCCCGGCTCATGCTTAGAAGATTTCCGTGCAACACCATTCATCGAGTGCAATGGTGCCCGAGGAAGCTGTCATTACTTCGCAAACAAATTTAGCTTTTGGTTGACAACAATCGAAGATGATCAGCAATTCCGAGTGAGTTATTCAGATTCGAATTTGATCAGTCGAATTGATCATTTGCATAAAATTCGCACTCTATTTTCTACTCATCTCATTTTGAATTAACTGAACTCTTGAGAGTTGATGTGATGTTAAGTCACAATTAACAGTTGAATTTTGACTATTTTCAGATTCCGGAAAGCGAGACACTGAAAGCCGGTAGCCTAAGAACACGGGTTTCACGTTGCCAGGTCTGCATCAGGTCTCCAGATGTGAATCCGTATTAAGGATGAATGCTCGCAATGGCACTACTAATAACTAAATCAGAGACATGAATACCGCAGTTCTTTTGTTTTACTATAAGTGATAGAGTTCAACTAGCATAAAAGTGGAGTTATTGATCGTCAGTGACGCACATCAGTCGAACAAACAATCGATAGTCTCCTCTTGACAACCTTAACTCTTAATTTTATGCCCACTTATTGGAACGACGTTCAGTATATTATTCCAAACAAATGCGCTGTAATGGAATTGGGTCTTCTCAGCGGCAATCATGTTTCCCTCGTTCAACAATACAATATTTGTGATACAGTAACTGCCTATTGATTTTTGTTTTGATGCATGAATTCATTTCGGTTATATAAATTGTTTCAATAAAAGTTTTTGTTACCAGTGCGTCTGTTATTGAAGTTTTGTGTACTTTTGGTGGACAACGAAACGGGCATTGGTACCTTGATATGGTGACCATTGTTCTTCACTGAATGCGGAAGTCGGACGATCTCATCAGTTGTCGCTGGCTGATAGCCGTTTAACGGAATGTTTGAGGAACATCTCATTTTGAAGATGTGATAAGAGATTGTAGATGTGGTGAAGACTCGTAAGGGCATGCCTCTGCGACATGAAAGATCCTGACAGTATACTTGATGAACGATGTAAGATCACAAGAGTATAATTGGAAGACCGTGAGGGTGGATTTGATGACGGATGACCGTGAGTGACTACTCGAACGCGAGGGTGTTACAGTTTTCTCGATATTGAAATGAAAGCGGAGAAAACATCGTGTTATGGTAATGCAGAAATGCTAAAATCAGCTTTAAACACAAACCGAAGACAAAAGAGGATTTCTTAGGATTCGAATGCATCGTTATTTCCAAAATGCGTTCACATGATCAACAGATCGTGGAACGCATCTTTGGACACTGATCAGTTAGCACTTAGTTATCTCTCACATTCGAACTCAGATTTCTAAACCACCGAGAAACAACGGAAGACAGTGTGCATCTCAAGAGTGCACCACTGCATATCAGCGATCAAGGCAGAACGAACTACCGAAAACTGACCGCAATTCAAATGTCCCAACATACCAACAAAATGGTGAGAATCTCAGGTTCATCTCCACGATAAAAATAATCCTGTCGTACGCACAACGAACGCCTCTAAAACCATCGCAATTGTCAAAAATGCTAATCCCAAATTAAGAGCCCGAGTGTTTCACGATAAATGCATCTATTCATGAGCGCTTAAATCTACTAAACCAGTTCGAGGGAAAGGGTCTCTACACGGACTAATGCAACGAGAAAAATAAATGAATATAGCAACAAAAGTAGAGAGGTAAAAGAAATGTAGACAATTCAGGGAATGTGAAAAAAAAACTTTTCAATTCATAGAAATTCTACGATGAAAAACAGAGTTAGTGCGATTTCCTCGTCACAGAAGATGAAGAAAAGCTGACGGTAAGTCAAGACTGCATTGATTAATGAAAACCTCAGTTTGAATCGCATTTAAGCCGTCCTGAACCAATCAGGCATGCCCTCGATCTTCAACATTCTATCATCTATACTGAGGCTAGTATCTTACCATCTTTGAAAGTTTAATGACGGTATTCCTGATACTCGTAAAGTCTTGTATGATAGATCCACGTAAACTTTTTGGAAACCACAGTTTGCAGAATTCAACGATGCGGAGGAAACGCCAACTTAGAAAATAAATTTCGATGCCAGAATTTAAAAAAGTTGCAGTTGTATCTGAAATTTGAGCTGCGTTAGAGTGTGCTTTTGAAAATCGGCCAGATGAATTGCTGAATGCAATGGTCAAATGCACCAGTATATTTATCATGTCTTTCCTTCCGTATTGATTGACTACGATAACAGTAATTATAAAGAAGGAATAAAGTTTACTTAACTCCTACAATAACCTCTGTCATCACAGATTTACGTTCGGTGTCTCGTGAAAAACTTTGAAAATATCCTCTGGAAGAATTCACTCGCTAATATTGATGAAAATTACTTTTGCACAGTATTTTGGATGTGATGGATACATGGAAAATATTATGTAGAAGTGATTATCTATTTCGGCGAGGAAATTCATCGAGAAGACACCGAGACAATTGCTGTTTTCTCCACTATACCAACGGGTGTATGATGGGTGAGGATTCGCAGTTATGGGCATAGTCTTTTATGAAGCATTATACTCTTTATATTATTCTGGAAACCTACAAATGTCATATTCGCAAGGAATGTACAACATATCATAAGCACATGCAACCATACTGAGCGAATCAAATCCACAGAATGAAAGTGTCGCTCGTTTTATTGCGTAATTGATTAATAATAACTCAATAAAATGATCGCTTTTGAGATTTACTCAGCATCTTTGCGGACATGTCGAAGTGCCGTTACATCATAATCACTTGCAATGAACCATTCAACTGCATCTTGCGAGATTTTGATCGAACCGCCTTTTACGTCACTATGTGAAATTCTTAACGAACTCTTCTTCGGCAATGGTATCTTCTTACTACGCCAAAGACTTATCTTCAATCAATATTGAATTAATCCAAATGACCATACAATCAATATTGAATTAGTGGTTCATATTGATGCGAATGTTATCATTCGGAAGACCAATTTTAATTGAATATTAAATGGATGCTCTATCAAGTGAGATCGCGATTTCACTTGTGATTTAGTTAACTTGGAAAACTTAATTCATTTGCACCAAATAATAAATTTCATTTCATCTAATGTATTTTCATATAAATTATTTGGAAACAAATATGAATGATTAATATGTTGGAGGATCGAACTGTTTTTGAAATGATTCGTTCAGCTGAACCTGTTTTTGAGCTATTTCTTGAACGTCATTTGGCATTTCCACTTGCGTGTCATCACCTGCACCTCTTTCGATTAACAACCGCGCCTTTAAACCAATTTTTTGATATGGAACGTTGTTATCATAAAAATTGCTATTCTGAATTACTATGAATGTAGTTATTACCAACCAGCTGATTTTATGGCTGTGCTTAATAGATGGCGTTAAGTAATGAAGGAAATGACTGCTAATAAGCGGAGCTGTACAGATTGTTCATTTGGAAATGACTTCAATAACGGTATTCTTAACCGGACATTCTCAGTAGATCCCAAAATACATTTCACAGCTGGACTGACTTCACTGATCGAACAGTCATTCGTTTGCGTTGACTTGACAACTAGCCTCTATGCTTTTTATCAAGCAAAAATAGGATTTAACGAAACAGTACTCGTCTATTCGAATGAATTCCGCTAAGCATCCAAAACGCTAACATCGACTTGCTCGCAATTGGTTGTCCATTCACTTCGCTATGAAATTAAGTAAATGATTCTTATTTACTTTCAATAAACTGATCAGATTCATTCGCCTGGGACAATCATCATCGAATCACATACCAAAAATTTTCAGTGTTTGCTTCAACTCGCAGACTTCAACTCGATCGAAGAAATGACGACCATTACCATGATTCATTCATTAAAATAGAGATGAGGAACGGAAAGAAGATAAAAGTATCACTGCTACTTCGTCGCTATGACAAAATAAAAAGTCGATGAAGTTACCAACCGGATGATATCACCGGGTCGAAGATGAATTGATGCCAGGCTACCAGGATTTACTTTTGTCACTCGAACTCTTTCCTTAGCATCGTACTTAACAGCAAGTCCGAGAATATCATTGAGATCAACATCTGGTGAAATACCAATAACGAGGTCAACCTTTAAAGAATGAATTCACTTAAAGCTCATTTTATGTCTCATTCTAAAATGATGTATGGTGAAAACAGTTATTTTCATAATTGAAAAAATGGTACAGTTTACGTAAATTATACTCACGAAACATCAAACTGACCGTATACAACTCCACAGCTCGCATAACTTTTAATCCACGACCTTTTTCAACTAGCAGTGTTTCAACTGTGGTACACTTATGTCTTGATATTGAATAATTATTTCTCCTGAGTGTTACTCGTGATTCCTGTGATTAATTTTCCATTTGTTACTTTAATTGAGTGACAATCGAATTTAGCAATGGCTTTGAGAGCTGACAGGAAATTTTTGAAATAAATCAATAAAGTGAATAAACTAATTTCGTTCTGGATGATTCGGAATATTAGGTGAGGATCACCATCAAGTGAACATAATCTATCGCAGATTTCATCATCAATGTTTCGTATTTGGCGACAAAATTGTGCTGAATGATCATGCAAGGTTTAGAAACAAATCCATCACGACAATAATACTTTTGATGGTCTTTTGAGTATTCTATTAAGCGCTTCAATATCTCTTGTTCGCATTGTATTTATTGCAACAATTTCATCACCGACTCCCACAACACCCATCGCATTACCACCTGGTTCTACGAAAGTTATCTGGAATGTAAATTTTGTTTTGATATTGAAATATTGAAATAACATTTTTTCATCATTACAGTTAGCAAAGGGGAATATTTCAAAAAATATTGTTTACGTTCGTAATCCATCATCTACATACCGTATGTCGAAATATAGTGAATCGGAACTCATCAATAAGGAATGTTGTAAGAATGTTGAATTTCGGCGAGCAAATTGCGTTAAGGCATTTTTGATCGACCAAAAAAGCAGCCAAAATTTCTCACAGAAGCGTCAACAGCGAAGCGTGGGACCAATGCCAAGCAGCCGTCTTCACCGAGTGTGCGAAACACCGATTGAGAAATTTTTCATGCTGGTTAAGCTATTAATATCCATTCATCTAACGCAAGAGATTGCGAGGAATTCCGAACGTCGTTGCACGTTGCTTAATAATGCGATCTCCCATTAACATTATCGTGAAAGTATGGACATTCTATTACCTTCAGTGAAACTTTATGAATCCTCATTCCGAAAGGCCTCTTCAACACAACTGTTTCCTGCAACAAGATATGTCGTTTTATGATACTATTGAAAATGAAACATTGAGGTTGGCCAAGTTGTGGTTCCGTGGCATAGACGAAGCCATTAAGATACTTATTAAGCTACACATTCAATTATAGAAACAAATGAAAATCTGTGACACTAGTATTTCCCACGCTCTTCCACCAGTCCGACCATGCAGCAGGCCATCACTGCACCTTGCAACAACCTACCTGATAGCAATCCCTCCAGCACCCTCTTCTGGAAATCTGCTAATGATGTCGTAAATATCGAGCAACCATTATTCGTTTTTCCTCCCGGCTGAAGTCCCACCATTTAATGTGATGTTTTCTCGTTTAATCGAATGCAACATCTCTACATATCTTACCGCTAGAAATACCACTTAGTGCCGGTAGGAAAAACTTGATTCAGTGACAAATAGTTGCTAAGCAGATCCAGCATTAAAGCAGTTAATACCGTGACGTCAGCAGGTGTATTGCTGCAATATGAAATGATTTCTCTCGATTCAGTCTCACTCGCCGACATTTAAAAAGCCGAAAGGCACTCGACCGTTAAACGTTCAAATACAAACGAAAATAAGTAATGACTGTCAATCAGATCTTCAGATGACATCAACATATAATAATTCGCAATTGCATATCAACTGAAAATGATATTCATCGATTATTTGCAAGTATGCCGAATTTATAATGCTAGTCCCATTGGTGGGAGGAAATTTCAGAAATTCAAATCAGTCTGCTTACCACGGAATTGATTTAAAGGAGTTCAACCTCGTGCGAGAGTGCACCAAGAACTGAAGATGAGAGTGTTTTCAAAAATGTTTACTGACAAAATTGTTCAAAACTACCGATGTCGTGAATCGTATGATTCACGATAAAGATGATAATCATTATTAATAATATTTTTGTTGATAGAATTGTATCACGTCAGTCAGTGTTTTGTATTCGTCTATCATCACGTCATTTATCCAAATCTTATGTACAGTCACTTACCATCACGTCATATACTCGAATCATATATTTATTTACACCTCAAATGCCTCCTTATCTATCCTTATATCTAATACATGTATATAGTCAAATGCCTCTTATCTTTCCTCTAATCAACACATATATAGCATAAATGCTTAAATAAATTCCTCTCCAAAATATACGCCCCTTCTAATTCATTCACTTATAATTCAATTATTATTGTTCGTTTGCTATTCATTCGTTCAATCGTGCGTCTCGTTCGTTCGTTCGGGTAAACCGATATTCCCCAGCTCCGTTATCCCTCGACTCAATCACTCAGTCGCTCGATTTCGTTTCAATCCCCCGTCATCCCTCGACTCGATCACTCAATCGTTCGATTTCATTTCAATCTCCGTTATCCTTCCACTCAACCACTCAGTCGCTCGATTTCGTTTCAATCCCCCGTTATCCCTCGACTCAATCACTCAATCGCTCAAGTCATTCTTCCGTCGATTATTGTTTATTTGCTGCCTGTTGCTCATAATAAATATTCATTTCGTCGTAAATAGCGATCCACATTCAAATACCACTAGACGCCTATCAATATAACCGCCGCTAGTTCCGACAACCGACGTTCATACAAAGTTGTTGCACGGAAAATTTTTCTCCCAATTTTTGCATCCCACAGGGATGCTGTGGATTCCCCTTTGGACCTGAAAACTCCAGCGAGGAAAAGAAGCCCGAATTAGGCATGTAAATGGGTTTGGTCCATCTCCTTCCATTTCTCTCTAAAAACACGTCTCCCTTCTAAATTAGTGCAGTCAAGAACAATTTTCTGGATGGGACATGGGATGAAAAGCTCAGAAGAAGAATTGCATCCTGTGTGTGAGTAACTGCCATCTGTAACCAAGTCAAGCACCTCATCCTCAAAACATAAAATCTAAATCCCAAGAATTTGAAATACAACCCAAAGTACTTAATATCTTTAATTCAAATCTTGCAGGCAAAACATTCCCACGAGCGACGGTTAATCCACAACAAAATGTTATCAGAAACTATATTCGATGAATTCCAGGACAGATGCGAGACGCAGCTATTTAAGGATGGAAGACGGAGGATCGTGGTCGCGATTGGTATTCATATTGGAGAACTCATGGTCGCAAGTCGTAGTTCGTATTCGTATTTTTTCTTGGGTGGGAAGACCATTTTATTTCAAAATTTTTTGACATCCATATTTCCTCACTTGCTCCATGCTGACTGTCTTGTTCTGGTGCTGGAGCTGGCTGTTGACGGTCTCGTGGCTCGTTTCCATTTTGAAACTGGCTGATGCTCAATCTCATCAGTTTCTTCAGAGTCACTATCAGATTCCGAACTTTCAGAAATGTGATCTTCAAATTCTGAAACCCCTTCTTCTGAATCTTCTCCCTTTACATCATCATGGAAAACTTCGCTCTCTTCTAAAATCAATTCCAGAGCCTTCTTCACCGACTACCTTTTGCCCATCTTGATCGGTTATGATAAGAAATCACACTGGCGCGCACACACATACACATACTGGCACACACACGCACCCAGACGTACACACTATCAGTGGGCCAGAGAGGAGGAGGGCAGAATTTAGATACCCAAAACATCAATTTCCACACTTCTATTAACCCTGGGTCCAGTGGATCCGAAGACCTTACATGTAATAAAAATGTATAGGAGAGTTATACAGTGTCTGGCCATTAAAAATTTATTCTGATATATGTTCTTCACAGAAAATGAGCCAAGGCCACTGAATTCAAGTTTGAAAAATTAATTAATTGTATCATTTTTCTTTTAATAAAAAATGAAAATGGTCCCACAGACACAAGGATTAGGCAACCGATGTGATTTTTCAACACTCATGGTAAAGTGCTCCATGGAAATTGCTGCGTAAAAACGGAACTAAATTTGGTTTATGTTTACGATAGGTAGATCAAATTCGAATGAATCACGCTTGTTGTGCACGATTAGATTGTCGAGTGAGTCATCTCTGGAGTTGAGTGAATTTCTGTGGACAGCTTGGATTTATATATGAATATATTAATTAGGTGAATTGCTGTATTTAGACGATTAATATATTAGGCGATATATACGATATTTCATCCAAAGAACATTTTAAAACAGATCAATCAGATGATGCATGTTAGTAGACATAAAAGAGATGTTGCACTTCGCGGGGCTGCTATCGAACAACATTGACAAGTAGATGCGTAGAAAACATATGACAAGATATTGTTCCATTCATGCTTCTTTTCCTGATTCATAATTCTGAATAGCGTATGATCAATGCTTGAAATTCCCAGGTTTTGCACGGCGTCGTTCAGTAATATTGTTACATTTTCACCCCAAAAATGGAAATAATGAATCAACCATTGAAACGTTCATTATCATGAACAGGCGTTTCGTTTGAAACCACTGGTACCGTTCCCCCCAAAAAAACCAGAAATCAGTGCGAGACTACTCATTGTTGATCGGATCACAGTCAAACTGTGTCTGATATCGTTTATTCACTCGACGTAATTGCAAATTTTCATCATATTCTACAGATTCATACACTATGTTTGCATATTTCAATTAATCATTCGGTGAAGTGACATGTCAACTCGTTGATTTATCAAAACGGATATAATTGTGTTGGCCTTTATATCCATTGTAATATCCTTTCACACTAATAAACATATAATTAACTTTTCAGAAATATGCGAGAAAGCAAATATGAAAATGAAAGTCCAGTGAATAAATTTAATGATAGCTTTCGAACTGAAACATCATTGTTGAACAATTATTTGAAGATGAGCGGTAAAGCAATTAAAAAGGCAACTGCAGATGAGAAGAGTTCAGAGAAGAGGAATGAAGCAATCGTGGATAATGCGAGTAAAATTAATGACAAAAACGAACAATCCGATTCGATGAAAATTGAACTAAAAGCTGATAAAGAGGTTGAAGGTGATATCAATAGTGAAGAAGAGCTGAAAGAAATAACTGCTACGGATATAACTCCAGAGAATAGTGAACATGATGCAGTGCTAACAGCACAGGATTATCGCGATGATGTGCACGAATTTGATGCCGATCCATTGAGGACATGGTCACAGTCAAGCGGAAGTATGTCGTATGATTCAGGATGGTCGTTGCGTAGCCTTATCAGGAATCTCACTCTCAATGCAGTAAAGTTATGATTAAATTTCTGACCATCATGTTCTTCACTTATTCAGCCCTACGCTTAGGCAGCTTTCATAAGTTTGAATATTTCGTGACTGTTGGCTCTCGTGTTCCCTTAAACACTCAACGGTCATTGAATTGTTTTTGCTTTGATCATTAAATCAACACGATGAAGATGAACAGCTGCGATTGATTGTGCGTACACGAGCGGTGAAGCATTGAAATGCTAATCCTTTTATTTAACCCCGTATTAAAGCCGTATTACAGTTGGGTCATACAAGCCTCCACCAAGAATGTAGCACAGTAATTGCTTCTCGCAGTTGCGTAAGACAATTCTGATTTTCACTCACCTTACTTCGTCCCGTTGACACCAATCGTGAATGTATTAGCATCTCATTTTCCGAAAGTGATGCATTGGGTTGGTGCATAAGTTCGTGCGTTTTTATTCAAAATGAATTATTCCGGCGAAAGTCCACTTTTTAGGAGGAGTGTCATATACCAATCGATAGCGTGTTTTCTGCTCTTCGCCACTGTGTTAGACGATCTACCGCAGTTTTGTTTCCTTTGAATCTTCAGCGTGACGAAATGAAGTGTCAGGTGGACAAAAAAACGCATTTTCGACAAGTGCTAGTTTGTGCATTCAATCAGGGCTCACCGGTCGCTTGTGCCATTTGCACCATACGCAGAAATGATGTAATGCTGGTAAGAACAGCCCAGAAATGGTTTGCGAGATTTGCGAAGGGTGACTTCGACCTGGAGGGCGAGTGGCGTTCAGGTTGGACGTTGGATCTCGACGAGGGGTGTCTGAATGTTCTCATCCGTCGGAATCCGCGTGAAACCACAAGAAGACTGGTGCAGGTAATGAACTGTGATCAGTCCACTGTTGTACGACACTTGCACGCAATAGGAAAGGTTCGGAAGATCGTTGCGTAGGTTCCACACGTTTTGAGCGAAAGCAACAAGGTTCAGCGGTCCAACATCGCAGCCGCTCTACTGGCCCGTCACAACGTCCTTCACCCTTCGCGAACCTCGCAAACCATTTCTGGGCTGTTCTTATCAGCATTGCATCATCTCCATATATGACGCCAATGTCACAAGCGACCGTTGAGTCCTGATTGCACAAAGTAGCACTNACTTGTCGAAAATGCGTTTTTTCGTCCAACTGACACTTCATTTTGTCACGCTGAAGATCCGAAGGAAACAAAACTGCGGTAGAATGGTAAACGTTTAAGGCGATCGATCACAAGTTCATATTCTTGACTCGATTTTAAAAGATTTTCATACCGCTTGTCAGGGATACTCTTTTGAAATTACGCGATGAAGTTAGGTGCTGGTTGACATGTCGTCATTAGAAATTGCGGCTTATCACACTACATATTTTCCTCTTTGTTGAAATTCTTGTGCACTTTTCAGGTGAACGTGCAACCAGCACTGCCATTGGTCGAAGCCGTCAAAACAAAAGTTGTTAATGGGAGGTCACCATCGATAGTTGTGCTCAATGAAAATATGCTAGAAGCAATGAAGAAACATTTACGGTCCAGGTCTCAACTCGGCGATATGCATACTCATATCTGCATCCAGAACCAACGGTCGAACAGCGAACGACGTGGAATTATTGCCAAGGTTGCTACAATATTAAGATTGTTTACTACAATTACCCGCTCACTTGAGGTGTTTCCCTGCTATGTTGGTGTTGCTGCATTTACTTGCCCGGCAGTCTTTACATTGTTCGGCAGTATTCAAACAGAACAAGAACATCTGATCCTCAATCAAAAATTGCAGTTATTTTATATTTACGTGAATGATCATTAAAATTAACAGAGCAAAATTTTGAAGTTGAGCGATGCCGCCATAACAAATAAAATGATGATGTCTCTCACCGATCTTCACTGAACTTCCACTAAAACGATGAATTCAGCAACAGACTGTCTTGCATCTCATGAAACATCACAGGGAGAGTCTGAAACAACTTCGCTGGCTTTGAAGGTGTTTGAGCGCAAGCAATAGGCACAAACGGCTTGAGATGAATATCGCAGTTGCGACTAACCATAACCGACAGATCGCAAATCGGAGCTATGAATTTAAATCTGGGCTCACAGGTAGAAGTAGTTCAAATTTGTACTTGAATACAACATCCAATAAGTTTGAAAGAAAAAGCGTCATCGGCACAGTGACCAGTGAATTAATAGTTATTTGATGAATCATTGCAACAATATTTGTCATCGTCGACAAAACACAAACGACAAATATGCATGAGAATCGAATGTGGAGGAAATGAAGCGCCATCTTTGCAAATCAGATGTGCTATTGGTAACAAAGAACGCCAATATTATAAACGAACAAACCAGTGTCAGTTTCGCAGTCGAATCAATGACCAAGATGTTTGTTTGCTCAATCTTTGCTTTTTTCTTTCAAATAGTTGATTACAAGAAATTAGACTAAAAAATATGCATACAATTTATGTGCTGAATGCTAAAGGGGTTGATTAAAAAATATTTAGAAAACACTAATCGTGCATCTATTTCTTCAACTGGTTAGTTCAATTCTAAAACTGAATCCGAGTCTTCGCTGGTGGCTTCAGAATGCTTCATTTTCATTGACTCAGCCATGATCACAACTCTCATTTCAAAAATCGGAAACAAACAAAGAACGAAACCGGTTTGTGCTAACATTTGCTCCCTATTTCAGTCGAATACGAGTCAGCTAAAGCCAACTGGTGTTTGTAATCGAGGAACCAAACAGAGAAACGTTAGTAACTTAATCCGTTCAATTTCTTCATTTACAAATCATATTTTCGATCAATTTATGTCAGTCCTTCTAATGCAGTAATTAAAAACATTTCGCATATATCAAAATAAATTTGGAATCGTTTAAATCTGTCATCGCATGCAACAATTTAATATCATAACACAACAATACCTCTCAAATTCAGTTGATGGCATCATTGGAGGACTGACGAGTGCAAACGAAATTTGCATTTCTCAAAATCAGTACTAAAGGCACATTCCACTCCAAGCTGGACAAAATGCTTGGTACTTTTTAGGAGGCGCAACATGTTCTATGAGTTACGTATCTCAATTGGCATATGCCATTCTATCAACTGAAAAGAAATATTACATAAACCTGCAAAGTGTGTTGCGTTTGATGATAAACGTCAAAATTATTTCAAATCCAATGATGGAAATTTCAGATACTACAGAAATATGTGGGGGATCTCAACTCGAGTCTATCACTACTCACTCATGCGCCAATACCATCATTCGGTCGATATTCATTCAGTGACCATGTACGTAACGTTCAAAGAGGCAGAAGTGAGATGCATCTTGCTCAAAATATGACTGAAGTAGAATGATCGCGAATGTGCTTATATCAATACCATTGATTGAACATACATGCATTCATACGTTTGTGTGGTGATTCATTCTTTGTAAATTTTTAAGAAAACCAGTAAATACTTAAATTAATGGAGCATCGAAGATGTGCCTTCTTAAGGCAGTTACGAGTAGGGTTTGCACAGGATCCCGGAATTACAGTTCTGATCCCGATCCCGGGATTTAAGTTTTGAAAAATCCCGGGATTTCGGATTTGATAAAACAGGTCAATTTGTGTGGTTTTGACAATATGTCCATCTTGAAGCAAGCCTTAATCATTCCCATCGAATTTTATGAACAGTTATCTTTGCTCTTTGCGCTCTATGATTGATGTTCAGCTAAGGAAATAGACGCAATTCGGACGAATGACATGATCAACGACAGCTCGATGAATTTTTACGTAACATTTCATTGCATATTCAACCGATTATTCTGCTCTTCATTAATCTATATCATGCTCATCTGGATGCATTTTTTTGTAATAGACTAACAGTGATAATCACATTTTCTAATAAAAACCAAGAGCAAAAAAGTTCAATGAAATTTTGAGTCGTTTTCTCCCACAAGATTTGTTCTGCTTCAATATTCCATCTGTTAATTCAACTGCATGTTCCAAAGACTGCGAGTCTTTTTACTTCGCTATTTGAAAATGTTTTCATCCGATCGAAATGTACATAAATTCTCACTGAGTTCAC